AGTGATCTTTATCATTACTTTATCCTAACTCCATGACTTCTGTTAGTTTTCATAACATTGAGAATCAATGTCATAAATGTTCTGGAGGTAGTCTGATATTCTATCCGTAAAATTGACGATTATAACCCTTCCTAACTCGTCATTAAACTCCTCCACCCCGTCCCTAGGACTCCCTACTCAAAACGCACCCTTACTCCTTCAATTGCACTCCCTACTTAATTTTGATTTTGAAATCAAAATTTAACTCTAAAGTCAAAATTAACTTGGGAGTGCAATTAAAAGGCGTCGGGGTGTGTCCGAGTCAAGACAGGATGTGGGAGAGTTTATCATGAGAGTCAGGATGTAGAAACTGTCAATTTTACGAACGGGATACCGGAGCACCCCGCGTCATCTCATGACATTGATTCCCAATGTCATGGAAACTAAGGGGACTACATAAAGTCTATTTTATTTACAAAAATTCTTGTCAAATACAAAAGAAAACAATGAGACCAACTGCAAATAGTTTTATCATATATATTTTTTTATAAAATTTTTACCTGAGTAATATTGTAGAAATTTTATTTTAAAACTTATTATATCATTTTTATATAAATGAAATTTAAAATAATTTAAGTCAAACATAATAAGAAGAAAGAATATCGTACATTTTATAAAAGTTTAAATTAGACCTGGCAAAAAATGATTTGACCTGTTTTTCACCTGAGACTTGACCCGAAAATACTGGATTTTGAACATGGGTTTTGCTGACCGAATCTAAAGTTACCCGTTGAAAATGGATCAAATCCGACCGAACCCGAACCCGACATGCCAGACCCGCTAATATAAGAATTTTTCAAAATCATATGCTTTAATATGTAATATAATATTATAAAAATAAGATTTTAATTATATTTCGTTGCTTACTACTCGTTTTGAATGTATAAATTTATATTTTCATATAAAATTTTAATGATATTGCATAATTATCTTACTTTTTTCAAAAAATTTTGCATATTTAATTTTTTATTCGTAATATTGACAATCGGTCATAAAAATTACTTAAATTTTCAAAAAATAAATGAAAGTCATAACATGTTGGGTTGATCCAAACCTGATAATATTAGGTCATGAACATGTAACTCTCAACCTGAAACTGAACTTACCCAAACCCGAAATAATCAGAACCCAAGGTTAATGAACCCGACTTGACCAACCATTTTCCAGCTCTAGTTTAAATGTTTAAAAGAGTTTTCTGAAAGTGAATAAAAAGTTAAGGTTAGGCACGGTCCGTGATACTATCGAAACCTATCACGGATCGCTCTTATTGAAACGGTTCAGTATCGGTACGGGATGAACTCCAAAACCATTTGGTGCCATTACTTTTTGAAATGGAATAGTACAATATCATATCCATGTTCAAACCGTGCCAAAAAAATGAATATACATTACTCAAAGAATACTTAAACAATTGTATAAATTTGTATAAAAAACACAACTTTGTTAAACAGATGTATTGATTTTGAATTTAAATGAATCATAAATATAAAGAATAAAAGATAATGAGTCCAAATTAAAAAATAGTTTTTTTCAATTCATATAATATCGGACTATTTATAACTATAAAAAATAATGCCAATTGTAGTAATAAATATAATAACAAAAATACTAATGAAAGAATTTAAAAATGAATAATAAAATATGAAGTACTCTATATACGGTAAGATGAAGTAGACAAATACTCCATAATTATTTGAGATACGTACTCAGTATATAGCTTTGGACGGTCCGTGATAATCGGTTTTAAATATTTATATCATGGTCCCGTTTCATTTGATATCGATTCAGTTTTGGTTCGTGATAAAAAAAATCAATCCCGTTTGAAAACATTATAAACGGTCTGGTACAATTACAGTCCGATATGATACCATGATAGTTCAGTTTTTTTTCCATCCCTATAACAAGTTAAATGTATCAAAATTCAAAAACATGGAATTAAAAAAATCGCTCATAATATTTCTAAAAGATCACTCATATTTCATTCAATATTTTCATATCCCTAACCCTAGGTTTTTGGGCGGACTTTTTTTTCCTTCTTCCGAGCTCTTTCTTTTTGAAGATCATTGCTCCACTTATAATTTTGCAAAAAAAAAAAATAATAATTCAATACCAAGTCTTTACTATATGATGGATTTAAATTCCACCAAAGTATGGTCCCTAAATTAGGCCATAGATATGAGATATTGATAATAATAGCAGAGGAAATGGGTGTGGCGTCCACCGGCGTTAACCCTGATTTTAACGCCCGGGGGCGTTAAACACCGCCCCCCTAGAGCTTCGTATTAAAAACAAAAGAACTAAATATGTAGAAAATTTTAGAAAAAAGTAAGATAATTATATATGTTATATCACTAAAAAAATTGAAAATATGAATTATACGTTAAAAATGAATAGCAATAAAAGAAATATAATTATAATCTTATTTTTATAATATTACGTTTCATATTAAAGTATATGATTTTGAAAAATGCTTATTATAGCAGTTCGGTCAGGCTGGATTCAGATTTGATCGTGTTTGACCCATTTTGAATGGGTATTTTCGAGTTCGGTCAACAAAACTTTTGTTCAAAATTCAATGTTTTCAGATCAGGTCTCGGGGCAAAAAGTAGATCGGGCCATTTTTTGTCAGGTATACTAAAAAGATCGCTCTGGGGCCTGAGATCCCCCAAGAGAACTCTCTCTAGGCTGATGGAAATTGTGTTTTTTGATATTAATCTTTGGAGAAGTAAGAATGGCTTAAATTTACACATATCATTAGGCTTTGGAGTATGGATCTTCTCTTACTTTTTGTGAACTCAGCGTCACATCAATTTTTCCTTTTAGCCTCCTTTTCCTTTTCGGGGATGTAATTCCACTTCCTTTCCCCTTTCCCTTCCATTTTTAATACTACCTCCGTCCCTAAATATTTGTCACATTTGTATTTCCAAGGCAAAATATCAAACTTTTTCAATTCATTTTATTTACATATTGGTATTGAAATAAAAAATAAAATTTACATATCAAAAAACTACATGAAAAGTTCTTCGAAATAAGAGGTGTCAAGAATATTTTATTTTATCAAATAACCATTGAAAACTTAGAAATAAACAAAAGTTTCCGCGACTGCTGAAAAAGCAAATGTTGTGAATATTTTGGGACGGAGGGAGTACAATATTATCTTTTAACACTTAATTTAATTAAATTAACTAAAATAAAAATATAAAATACAATTAAATTATACAAGTATACAAAAGCTCAAAATAAAAATAAAAAAGGAAATCAATAAACTGAAAACTGAAAAAAATCAAAAAAATCAAAATTAAAAAACTAAAAAACTAAAACTAAAAAAGGAAAAGAAGCAAGAAAATAAAGAACAAAATAAAGAAAGAAGCAACAAAAAAAGAAAGAAGAAAGTACAAAGGGAATAGACGAAAACCAAAAGAGGAAACGCAAACAATAACGGACGGGAAAAATGATTTCGAGAAAAAACAGGAAGAGAAACCCGTCTTTCCCAATCCCACTAGGAGGGGGCGGTGTTCCCCTTCTTCCCCTTGGTGCAACATCGTTTTCGCCCTCCTTTCCATCATATACCCCATAGCCTTATATACGACATTAGACTAAAAGAGTGAGATGACAGAAATAAAAATGAAAAAAAATAAGACGGGACAATGGTTTATTATATCCCCACATAAAAGTTTTGGTTACTATTCTAAAGTTACAATTACTTTTATTTATTCATATGTTTTCATTAATCAATTTAATAAAAAGCCGTATCACCTTATATACTTCGTATTTTTTTGAATAAATATATTTATATCACAAATATTGTATCTCAAAAGTTTATATTTATATTTTGTGTCAATGTAAGTGTGAGATTGATGTCTTAAATTGACATAAAATATCAATTTCAAATTTTGCAATCACACTGTTATTTGATATTAATTTAAGTCATTTAAATATAAATTTTTAGGCTTTTTTCATAGGAGGTACTCCATCTTTGCACCTTGTAACAAAAAGATAAAATATCTTCAACTTGTAACGAAAAGGTACTCCATCTTTAAAAAAAAGTAACAAACAGGTACTCCTTACCGAAACTTCAAGAATTCGGCCGGTGAGCGTACATGTGACATTCTACTTAGCTTTCTGGTGTACATGTCACATTTCATATGACTTCCAAATTGACTCGTAATTTATCTAATACTTGATTGACTTTTTATTTAACACATAAGTCAATTTTTTTTCTTGTAATGAAAATATGGAGGATATTTTATGGAGAATATTTTAAATTGTGCTTTCTATAATATTTTATTTTTAATTAAAGCATTCTGGAAAAACTATAATTTATAAGATACTTCATATTTTAAACATTAGTAGCAAAAACATTTTAATAATTGTCTATACTATATTTTTAACGATTTATTAGAAATTTCAAAAATTTAAATTCTAAAAAATACGTATTATTATTATTACTACTACTACGATCATCGTCATTATCAAGTATTATTGATACGGGCAATGAGTTTTATAAGTTATCTATGTATATTTTAGAAGAGACTTTTATGCAACATCGTGTTTATTTATCTATTAAAATTCTAACTCCAAAAAATTGTAGATATTTTAAAATTTAAATAAATAAGAAGTGTTGCCTTTTAAATTACGATAAAGAGAAATATTCAAAAAGTAATTGCTAGTTCGGTTTAAAATATTTTTTAAATATTAAAATATGATATTGTTTTATAAAGAAAATATAATTTTAAAAAATTAGAACATCAAGTACAAAGTTAATAACGTATATGAGAAGTTACAAATTAATTTGAAAGTCATATGAATGTAACATGTACACCAAAAAGCTAAGTAGAACGTCACATGTACGCTCGCCGGTTGGATTCTTGAAATTCCAACCAGAGTACCTTTTTGTTACATTTTTTAAAGATGAGGTACTTCTTCATTACAAGTTAAAGATAAGGTGTTTTTTTGTCACAACGTACAAGATGAGGTACCTTCCATGAAAAAAAGCTAAAGTTTTATTATATGGAGTATATTTTGAAGTACAATGTTTGAGGTAATCCATTTTTTGGAAAGACTATGGAGTATGGACCTATGGCATTCTTTTTTCTAACAACGAGCAAGAAAGAGAGAAAGTAAGAGTGACAGTTTTATAGTTATCCATTTTTCCTTATCCAATTCCGATTCCCATGGCTTCCTCTACTCCCAGTATCAGTCATCTGATCGCCACCAGCATTAATGACCTGCCGGACGTGATCCTCTCCAACGTCATCGCCGCCATTACCGAAGTCCGCGCCCGCAACTCCGCCGCTCTCGTCTGCCGGAAATGGCTCGTCCTGGAACGCTCCACTCGCGCCTCCCTCACCCTCCGCGGCAACGTCCGAGATCTAATCATGCTTCCCACCTGCTTCAGATCCGTGACTCACCTCGATCTGTCCCTTCTCTCTCCCTGGGGCCACCCCCTCCTATCTCCGGCTACCCCCGAGGCCGCCATTGACACAGATCCAACCCTAATCGCCCACCTCCTTCTCCACGCCTTTCCCTCGATCAATTCCCTGAAGCTTTATGCTCGCAACCTTTCCTCACTCCAGCCATTGGCCTCGCAGTGGCCGCAGCTAGGGAAAGTCACGCTGGTTCGGTGGCACCAGCGGCCACAGCTGTCGTCCGGCGAGGAATTCAGCTCCTTCTTCAGCGAATGCTCGAATCTGGTCTCACTAGACTTGTCTGCTTTTTATTGCTGGACCGATGACATTCCTCCTTCTCTGGAATCTCACCCCCGGGTTTCAGAGAGTCTCACCACCCTCAATCTCCTAAATCCTTCATTTTCAGAGGGGTTCAAGTCCGATGAGATCACTGCAATTGCAAAATCATGTCCCAATTTGAAGGAATTTCGGGCAGCTTGTATGTTCGACCCCAGATACATAGGCTATGTTGGAGATGAAGCTCTGATCTCAATAGCCACTAAGTGCCCGAACCTTGCTGTGCTTCATTTAGCTGACACCTCTGCTCTGTGCAGCACAAGAGGCGATCCTTCTGATGACGGGTTCACCAGCGAGCAAGCAAGGATCAACATCCCCACTTTGATTGAGGTATTTTCCAGTCTTTCCTTGCTCGAAGAACTTGCTTTGGATTTGTGTAACAGTGTTAGAGACAGTGGTCCTGCGTTTGAAATCCTGGGCTCGAAATGTCCAAGATTGAAATCCCTTAAATTAGGGCAATTCCACGGTGTTTCCATGCCGGTTGAGTGGAAGTTGGATGGAGTTGCCCTCTGTCACCGGCTGAGGTCTCTATCAATCAGGAATCCGGGAGACTTGGACGATATTGGACTGATAGCCATTGGCAGAGGGTGTTCCAGCCTTTCTAGGTTTGAGATTCAAGGTTGCAAGAAAATAACAATGAAGGGGATGAGAACTGTGGCTAGCTTGCTAAGAAAGACTTTGGTAGATGTCAAGATCTCTTGCTGCAAGAATCTCAGTGCACCGGCGTCTTTGAAGGCTCTGGAACCAATAAAAGACACCATCCAAAGGCTTCACATTGATTGTGTTTGGGACAGTGTAGAGGAATTACCAGATTGTTCTAATGGTGGTGGTTTGGCGTTCAATTTGAGAGGTACCCATGGTGATGGTGATGGTGATGGTGATGAAGATGAAGAATTGTGCAATAGAAAGAAAAAGGTCAAGTATTCCTATGACCTGAATCGTCTGTACGAGGAAATGAATGGTCATGGAAAGACGTGGGACAAGCTGAGCTATCTCTCCCTCTGGATTGGTGTTGGGGATCTTCTCACTCCTCTACCCGATGCCGGTCTAGAGAATTGTCCAAACTTAGAGGAGATGAGGATTAAGGTGGAAGGAGATGGCAGGCTACTATCCAAACCTTCGGATCGCGAATTTGGGTTGACAACTCTATTGTGCTATCCAAAGCTCTCAAAGATGCATTTGGATTGTGGAGACGTGATAGGGTACGCGCACACTGCGCCAGCAGGGCATATGGATCTGAGCTTATGGGAACGGTTTTACCTGATGGGGATTGGGAGTTTGAGACTAAGCCAACTCGATTATTGGCCAGCACAGGACAGAGATGTCAACCAGAGGAGTCTAACCCTACCAGCAGCCGGCTTGATCCAGCAATGCCTCACCTTGAGGAAGCTTTTCATTCATGGAACAACTCACGAACACTTTTTGAGGTTCTTTCTCCACACCCCACACCTTAGAGATGTGCAGCTGAGAGAGGATTACTACCCAGCACCAGAGAGCGACATGAGCACAGAGATTAGAGAAGATTCTTTGAGTCGGTTCGAAGCAGAACTCAACAGACGCCAAATCCCAGACTGATTGTTTTGCTCTTTTTGTTCATACGAATCGAATGATAATTTAGTAATGCACACTTTCTGAATTTTGATTTGGCAATGGACAAGCCATGAGTGGTTTATATAATGATTAATGACACACATAAATTGTATTGATGTATTGATTTAGCAGAGAGGGCAAATACTCACTGCACAAATGTTGTAACAACACACATAGTTAGAGAGTTTCAATTCAAGCCGACACAAATGTTGTAACACAAACTCTACTTATGTGTGTATCTATGTACAAAAGGCACATAATGCAATCAGCAGAGTGAGTATTCACAATCAACCAGGCGTGTCAAAATTTGCTCACAGCTGGGCCGTTCTTGAGGCTCTGCCCAGCAATCTGGAAATATAAGCAGTTAGTTTTCAAAAATGTAAGGATAAATTGCAAAAGCCAACCCATTATGCAGGATGCTCAATTTTATTTGAGATTTACCTGCAATAAGTCTACCCAGATTCCCGGTTTCTGGTATCTCTAACCTCGACCCCTCGTTAGCAACAGCATACACCACCTGCAAAACAAGACATGAAATCAACAGCTAGTATTTTACTTATAGAAGAATGCTGTAATCCTTTAGGGTCTGTTTGGTTTAAGGGATTTGAGAAGGAAAGGAAAAGAAAATGAGAAGGAAAACATTTTTCTTGTTTGGTTAGAGAGGAAAAGAAAAGAAAAGTGGAAGGAAAGGAAAATAAGAAGGTAAAATGTACTAAGAGGAGAGAAAACCAAATTCCTTTCATTTTATTGAGGAAAAAGAGGGAAAACCATTTTATTTTCCTTCAAAATTTCCTTGAACCAAACATAGTGTTAGGGTCTGTTTGCATGGATAGTTATGGTGTGGAGAACTTTGAGAATGGTAATCTTCCCCTTGACATGAATTTATACATCAAGGTATACAACTAAGCTCCATGCAATCAGAACCATAGAAACGACTAAACGAGAGCTTAAAGGGAACAAGAGATGGTATGCAGTATTACCCTTTCCGGAGGTACACCTTCCCAAGGTCTATTCAGAGTACAGAGCTCCCACATGATAACTCCTAGGCTAAAGATGTCGCATTTCTCCGAGAAAGGTTCATTACGAATGAGTTCAGGAGCCATCCACTCTGGAGTTCCTGCAGATGCGGAGTCTCGCATGGATGCATCTGTCACCATTCTTGACAGCCCAAAATCACATATTTTTACTGTCCAATGCTTGTTCACAAGACAATTTGCACTTTTTAGATCCCGGTGAGCTATCTTCATCCGATGTATGCACATCAACCCCCTTTGGATGCACAGAACAAAAACAGTAATGATTACTACTTATTATGATCATCAAAATCTTGCCTCTTAATAAATAATGTTAGTCACATGTGATTGACTGACTCTAATGTGAGTGTTTATGAGACGGGACTTTCTTTTATACTGGTTTTGAGACTATGAAGAAGAAACAGCAAACCTGCATATGTCTCTAAGTATCTTAAGTCTCCGCCGCCAGCTGAGCTTCTTCTTTTGACCACTTGAATGAATTAAATAATAGAGTGATCCCATCTCCATGTATTCAGTAACCATTGACAGGTGTGGAGGTATCATGCATGCACCAAGAAATAGTATCACTGCATAACAAATAAACGATCTTCAAATATGTCAAAAGCCCCCACCCCGTAAAAAGAGAAAAAGAAGAAAAAGAGATGGAGAAGCATACCATTTGGGTGCCTTAGACGGCTAGAGTACAAAGCAGGGTCATAAGAAAAATCATTTGTTAGTTTAATACTATGTATCTTAATATTAAGACAGTAAATATGGGTTCTATACAAATATACACAAGTAATACCTAAGGATTGAAATTTCATTGCAGAAATCCTCCATGTTTTCAGCAGTAAGATCCTGCTCCAAAAACACCTTGATTGCTACTTCTGTCCCATTCCAAATACCACGAAAAACTTCCCCAAAAAATCCTACAAATTGAAAAGTATGGTGTTTAAAGGACAAAATACTGAGCATTGAATATGACAAACCAGGACATATACCAGTTGAACGGAGCAATAGCTGCGGATAAAGTTGAACAAACTAGTCTACAACACAATTTTCTTGTTGAAAATGAAATAGAAATCATCTTGCTTCCCATAATCCTTGAGAAAAGCAGAGAGATTAGTGGATCATGAAAAACTGCCACATCAAGTTTTTTCATTATTAAATACTCTGACTTGCGAATATTAGTTTTCAGGGCAAAAAGTGAAATTGATAAGCTAGCCTGTGTTTTTTACGTTCAGGTTCCTCAGCAGAACAATTTTGCACAAACAATTATATACTTGCATTATGCAGCAATCAATACATCAGGACATGTAAGGATATTTCATTTCATATTTTCCTCTTTGCCTTTTGTGCGAGATTAGAACACACACTATGCTTCTAGACTTTAAAGATTTGATGTTGTACTCTGATGAGTACAGATAGATAGATGCTTAGCGAAGGGACAATAAGTGAGTACTACTCCGTATTATATCAAAAGAAGAGAACTAAACATGAAATTCAAGAATGAGTCCTACAGCAAGTTCAAACTGTTCTCCTCAGCCTATGGTGGTTAGCACCTGACTTCCTTTATAAACGAAAGGATTATTTGTAATGAGAACTGATATAAAGACATACTGTCACATAAAAAGGTTCTAGCTTTGATTTACTTTTTTGACTGAAATTACTTTCAAATCAAATTATATGAAAATTGTTGTAAAATAAAAAAATGCATATCTAAGTACTACATCAAATGTTCTATAAAGCAAGAGGTGAAATGATTGTTTTTTTTTTGTCAAAAAATCGGTGAAAATACTCCCTACGTCCAGAATTACCAAAAAAGAATGCCACATTACACAAAACAAAGGGATATTTCAAGTCAAAAGTTATATATTTAAAACTAAGTCACTCGGTAAAACTTACATATTTAAAAACTAGCATATTTAAAACTTACATAATTAAAAACTAAGTCAAAAGTTTTACAAAACAAGAGATGACAAGAATATTTTATTTTATCAAATAATCAATGAAAACATACAAATAAACACAAGTTCCTTTTGGGATAGAGGGAGTATATGATGCAAGATAATATAGTTTGACCAAGTGAATAGTAATGTAGAACTTTTTTATGGAACGGAGGGAGTACAAAACTAAGAACTAATTCATTCTTCAATCAAGGAGGTTAATCCTCTTCACTGATATAACGATTGATTGTGCATCCAAAAACCCACGTAAATAAGATCCTGTGATTTCTTTTTCTTGTCTTTTACCCATTTCTGTTAATTCCTTTCTTTCAGATTAAATTTAAGTCTTTGGCCTCTTTGGTCCTTGCTTACTTATCATAGTGCATAGAAAAAACATATGCTTTTACGTTCCCATAGGAACCCGGTGTCAGAAGGAAAAGAAAGCAGAGAATAGACATTTTCATTAATAACTTCCGATGCCATAAAAAGAAACTATCTTAAATAGTCTAATAATACTCCTGTATTTGAATAGATGTTCCACTTTCCTTTTAAAAATTACTGTCTGCAGAAAAACCTCCTTAGGAGACTTACCATAGCCAGGTGCACGGACCTGGTTGTATTCGGATATAGTCGGAGTAAATAAAGTTGGGCAAAGCTTCGGTGGGTAACCCAAAAAAAGGCCCTTTTGCATCTTCGTTCTCCTGCTTTTCTTACTTTTTATTTCCTCGATACATTTTATTTTTGTACACTGTTCAATACTCTATAATTTCGTACCTTTTCATCTTCTCCCTTAACATTTTTATACACTGCTCAAACTTCAGTACCCCTACAATTGTTCTCTTAAAACGAAAACCTTATAGGCGCAACTATTCGAAGATGGAGTGATAAAGTACTTCTTTGTGTGGACGAGGGGTGTTTTAAAAGTAAGGATTCGGGAGAAGGAGAATAATACTTACCAATCCCAACTCGTATGCCCACAGTTAACTCTGAGAAATCTATATTCCATTCTTCAAAAGGTAGCAAAGGCTTATTCTGGAACATTGGTAATTCGAGAACCCTGTTCCAAGTTGAGACCATGTCTTCGTTCACCTTGTGCTGGTCAGAAGAAGCTACACGTGATTGAGTTTGATTCCTGATTTCATGAGGAGAGGAGGGTAATGACATTGCCTTCTGGGAACTCAAGTGGTCCATTGAAGAAGTGAAAAAGCTAGTCTGCCTACCAGACACACCAACACGATCATCATAGTTGAAACCAGATGCCTGTGGCATGAAATAGCTTGTTAACAATACTAAAACCGATCATTAAGAATCATTGGGATAGTTGTGTAAAGCGAAAAATGAGAGCCAAAAAAAACTTACATCATTTTGAAGATTGGAAGAACTATCTCTATCATATGAAGTGCACGTGAAAGACTTGTTTTCTCCTTGTTCACTCAAGAGACGACTCTGCTTCAGGGTTTCGTTCATCGCTCGGACAGCCCTGGTGTGATTCATTTCATAAACATGATGCAAATTGAGAATATACATGGACAACAAATATATTTCTGGGAGTGAGGCTATGGAGGGGATGATAGAAACCTACTAGAGTTAATTTAGGATCAAAATTAAGACTAAAAAGAACTCTCCCTCCCTTCTCTCAATAAGTATCTCACTGATGAAAAAGGAATAGAAGCCAAGAGAATCTCAATGTGATTAATGGTTTATTTTCTGGATATCTCAGCAATAGAGAAGCTGGGACATTTATAACAACTCTAACAAACTGATAAGATCAAAAATAACAAACTGATCTGATAAGATCAAAACAACAAAGTGATAAGTTCTAACTAACTAAGCTATCCTAGGGACTCAGGACTCCTACTAACCTGAGAGTCCTTTTATTTAATAAATATAAAACAGTAACAAACTCAATTAAACCACATCAGTGATTCGAGTCTTATCAGGGGAGGAGTTATTTTTTAATCTTATGAGAATCTTAAGTGGTTTATGGTTATTAATAAATGGCTAAGCATGGAGATAATAACTTATCATTTTTTTGTTGAAAACTGGCAAGTAAAAGCACTCTTCTTAAGAAAAATTTAAAGAAAACATATGTTTCTTCCCCTCTTAAACATACCCCAAAAGTTCAACCAGCAATGTTGTGAAGAAATGACTGAGTGAAGTTATAATTACAGAACGAATTTCTACCAAATGCATGAGTGCATGACACCATAAAACGAACTGTCAATTTTCAGCATATAGAGTAGAAAGTTTCATTATATATACTTAAATGTGTTAACATGTCTTCATCAACTATTTCTCTGATTGGTGATTCATTATCTTCCCAGCAATTCGGTTGCCATTATTTCCATAGTTGAAATTTTCATAAAGTTTTTCCAATAAGTTAATAAGCTTTGTAAAGATATGAACATTCCAATCAAAGTCATGGTATATCATCAACCTATGTTTCCATTATTTCCCTCACTTTACGAGTCTACCCCTATCCGGTCTTCCCACTTAGCTAATTGCCATTAAAAAGACGTAAACTTCCTCAGATTTCATACCTTGGAAGTAATTGGAACATTTTAAATGTAGTGTGATGACCTTAGAAAAATCCTTTAAGGCTACTTAGAATTATGGAGTGTGCATAATATGTTGACATGGTAAAACTCATAATCAAATCTAATAGAAAATATTTTAAACATAAACAATAGTTATAATATTGTGTGAATAGCAAGATCAACCTTACGATATCATCACCAATTTCAGGAGTTATACTTATGCTTCTTCTTCTCAGCCTACGTGTTTCTGGTGTGGATGCACCTTCTGATCTGCAAGTCGGAAACAATGAAACTCAATGTTGACTTATTCATTATCGAGATATTAGACAAATAAGACAGGCTTTCACGTATTGATTAGAAAACAAATCACGTTGATTTATTCATTATCGAGATATCAGACAAATCACATGTTTGATTTTCAACATGTATGAACACAATGTTCATGACTGCAATTGAACTATGTGCAGTGAAAGGTTTCAGAAAAGCTTCAGTGAATGCTACAAATTTGACAAAATTATAAAGAAGTTCAGACCAGTATTAATATTTAATAGTGCACAATAAGGTGAGAATTTGAAGCGTAAAGAACGTTGAAATCCCAAGTTGCTTTTCCATTTGCCTCCTCTTTTACCAGATCATGAACCCTAGTGATCCAACAAATTCTACGAGTTGACTCAGTGCTCCAACCTATCTGTCAAGGAACCAACTCAACCACAAGCTCAAGCTTGTGGTTGTGGCCCAGGAATAGATATTTATATACTCTAACACGCCCCCTGACCTCTTGAAACCTTAATTTTTTTTTAAACTGGGTGGCGGTGAGTTTCGAACTCGTGACCTCTTGGTCATCAAGGCTCCGATACCATGATAGAATTTAGGATGGGGTATAGACAGCTAGATTGGGCAATAAGACACTTGGGCTGAACCACATTAAAAGATTGAATCCAATCGATTAGTTAGTTCAACTCTAGAGCTTATATACTGATTATTTTACTCTTGGATTTTCTGATGTGGGATGTACTCTAACACTCCCCCTCAAGTGGACAACCGGGCCATTTTGAATCTAACCGGTTGACCACTTGCAAATGAACTCCCATTCCCTTGACTTTTTTTTATGAGCGCCAACACCTAAAGGACCACGAGCCGCTGGGTATGGACTTCCAGACGAGCAATCGTGTCAAACGGGCCACATGCCGTTGGTTACATACTCCACACGGACAACTGGGCTAAAGACAAACGGGCTGCTAGGAATGAACGTCTAGACGGACACCTTGACAAACGAGGTGGGCCAAAACCTGCTCTGATACCATGTCAAGGAACCAACTCAACCACAAGCTCAAGCTTGTGGTTGTGGCCCAGGAATAGATATTTATATACTCTAACACTATCTAACAAAAAGCAAGTTGTTATAGGATCTGGATCGCTCAAGGCATAGAGGCTCATAAACTCGTACGATCCTACAAGTCAGATAGCAAGTTTGACTACCATGACTCAAATCAACATGTATATCATTGAAAAGTCATCAAGATGTTTTAAAATATCAAGTGGACTCAGTCATTTTCCAATATCAATGTTTTTGTTCACGGACAGGTCAGAACAAAAGCCCTAAAATGTTAAAGGTCAGTCACATTTGCTTCACTCATTAAAACATATTTTACAATAGACCATTTTATGACTGAATATGCCGCCTTATATGCTATGTAGTAGTGACTAAATTCATTCTTAACATTAAGACCTCCAGAGCAGAAAATACAGACTCACATCCAATACACATTGGATAAACTATAGCTCATACTGGTAAGAGTGAGATTTGAAGACATCAAGTACAAAAGCAAACAGTGGAGAGAAAATTACCAAGGTGTGCCCCTCTATAACAATTAACAAAAGTAGGGGAGAAATAGGATACAAAACTTGTTTACTTACTAACGCAGATTTACAAAGATCTACAATAAGGAAAGGGGAACAAACAAATTAAAAGCAGAGATACCTTGATGTAGCAACATCGTCAGAAAAATGTCTGAAGCTTTTATGATCACCACTAAGCATGGATCGGCCACGTGTTCGAAATGAAGGGTGTTCGGGGCTATCACGAAAATAAAAAATATATACATAAAACGAGCTACAAGGTACAAAAAGTAAACATGTTTCACACATTTTAGGCATAAAATCTACTAATGCTTTACATGTGAATAGTGATAAACTGATAACTTAGTCACCTTTTTGTAAGCCAGAATCCAAACCAACCTCCCTTGCCCTATTTAGGACATAAGCATGTCTTAAAAGGGACATGATTTCATTTAGCCACCCTTAGCACACATTGCATGATACTCTTTCTTTGCATGAAACTCTTTGATGATAACATAAACATTGAGAAAATATTATCAACAGATTTTGTGAACTGGCCAGCATGGATACGTAAATCACTGACATCCAATCAAACTATGCTTATATTTGCTTACCATATACACATACCGTTTTTTTTTCAGTGTTCTGTTCAATAAAGATTTGTCTACCATAATTGACCAATAAAATGTTAAAGTGATGCCTTTGCCCACATTCATACAAGCCACTTAGGAACATAGCCATAATCACAAATTATTGGCAAACAAAAAAAATAAAACTACAAGTTCAAAATGGAATAGAATGGATGCAACAAGCATACTAAGAATTATGGATGTAAAAACACCTTGAGCTTGCAGTCCTCGGTTCACTGATAACCTTGCTCCGACCCCTCCTCCAAAACGTTGCAGCAATGTTTGGATCACTATGACATGAACTGGTAAAAAAACATGTAAAGAAAAATTCCACTCTTCCTATGGAGAAAATTTTACAACTCTATGTGTTTCAATAATGCCCACATTATGAAGGGATACTTTTAAATGTTAGTAAAAGTCTAAATGCAATAATTGTCAATAAGAACAACTGAACAACATGCTACCTCAAATTTCTGTCAATGGAAGTGGATGACCGGAGCATCATGTTCCGCAATGAAGGTCCTGCTGCATTTGAAGATGCTTCTAGTCTTCGCTGGTACTGGACAGCATCATCTTTTTCAACACTAACAAGAAGATTTAAAAAAATAATATTCCACACAAATATGTTTGGGCATAATGAATATATATATATATGAGATATTCTTCTCAACAACCTATCAAGATCTCCTCTGTCTGAAACCCCAAATAGAGGGCTGTTAGGCTCCAATGGCGAATCACAGGAATCATTTTCTGCAGAGTCACTCTCCCCAGCAGCAGAAACATGGGTCATAAATATAGCTCTGGCAGATTGAGGGATCAATTGGCCAGGAAACCTCATGAGATCCACAAATAGTTCCATGGAGTTCAAAACAACTAGTGCAGACATATGCTTATATGAGTCGGTGCACTCAGAAGCACCTTCTGTAGGCAAACCCTGGTTTGGGGGAAGAACACATGATGTGAACAAAGGAAGATAGAGTAGTAAGACAAGTGCAATCCTCTCTGTTAGATGTATAAAAATGGGTAGGTCAACACGCAAAAACTTACCGCTACCAGCCTACATTCAATACCTACGGTATCTGCGAGAACTTTGAATAATATTGCTCGTGGGCGGCATGACCCATGTTTTATTTGTCCTAACATCTGAATACCACGGTTGCTAGAAACACAAGATGTTTCCTCAAGTACACCTTTAGCAGTGCTGAGATCCAAATTCGGTCGATTATGAACATCAGAAACCTAAATAGAAAGCCATAGTAAACGATCGGTTGGATTCCTCTCCACATATTCACAATAGTAAATAACACAATGATGGGTTCAGATACAATGATGGGTCAATTTGAATATCTAGATCCATCTAGATCGATTTGAATATCCCCTTTTACCCAAATGATACATGAAAAAAACTATGTTTTCATCTCCTTTACATTACAAAGTTTTCCACATGTAAACATTTAAATGACACTTCAAACTGATATTTTTGTCCCAAGGTAGTGAGTGAGTAAAAATTATAGCATAAACAAAATATGAAATACTCACCAGTCCAGCAATCTTCTTTACCATTGCTGCAGGGTTGGAGTTCAAGCCTTTTACCAGTGCAACAGCCAGTTGCTTTAGCATACAAAGCTTCTTATCTTTTTCAGCATCTACAAGTACAGTATCTGCTCTGAAACCCTCAAGCTCTAATGCATGAAGCTCGTCAATTGTAGGTATATCTTCAAAAAGCTCCTTAAGCCTTTTCTCCTGTGGGAGTTAAAAAAAATTGACATTATACACATCACTAGCCAAAATGTAAATGATTATGTTCTTGTGTGAAAGTACTTAACATTTAACAAGCAATAATACACAACAGAGTAAAGAAAAATGGGTTTATAGCTCACAGGAACAACAGAGTAGAAACCATTTGGAATTGGCTCAGAAAGTGTTCCAGTTCTCCAGAGGATCTGGGATGCTGTCTGTGATGAAGGATTAATGTCTACTTCATTCTCAGTTAATTCGTTATTCCTCGGCATTTCTACTTCAGCGCCCAGAGAAACAGATCCCGATTTTCCAACAGTATTGCAAGGCCAGTGTGAAGCAGTAAGATGTTTCTGTTCCAGAGGACCTACTTCATGTTCTTTCTCTTCCATCCCCAGTTGTAATTGGATTGCAATGATATCTCATTTCAACTTTCTCCCATTAAAAACTTGTAAGTTGCAAAGTTAATCTAAGAAAATTGTGACATGGAGGCTTTTGTTTCCTCCGATCCCCACAGCTTGATGTTCATTAGACCTGCAAAGTCAAGATAAACATAAGCGCTCATACTAAAATCTAACTACCAGTGATTATTCAAGTTAAGATCATAAAACTGAACATCAATTTAAATTACATTATGGAAAATACACTTAAAGTTCATAAAGCTCAAAAACAGGTTTGGGATAGTGGTTTATCCAGCAGCTACAGAAGTTCAACAACAACAACAACAACCCAGTTAAATCCCACAAGAGTAGGGTCTGGGGAGGGTGTGTGTACGCAGACCTTACCCCTACTCGAAAGTAGAGAGGCTGTTTCCAAAGAGACCCCCGGCTCAACGTCGAAAGTTGCATTGCTTGACTAACTGCTACTTCATTAATTAAAGAAGCGCAGACAGTTTAGAGATCCATTTTGATTTATTCCATCACACCCCAAAGCCAAAAAATGGTGAAATTTTGGCTCCATCGGAGATGATGGAAATAAACAAGAATGCAAGGATGCAAGGATGCCAAAAAATGGTGAAATTTTGGCTCCAGCAGCTACAGAAGTTGCTTCTTAAAAAGAAAAAACAAATCGTATGAAAAAAAAATGTATACACTATAAGAATGCAAGGATGTAATCTCGGTAGAATTCATAAATTCAGGCACCAGACAACTATGAAATGTCCTCAAGCACTTCAATACATCTATTGTGAGGATGGTTCCCCACAGAAAGTACTTTTTCAAATAAATTAATGAAAAACCTCTCCCATGGTTTTTAAAAGGCGACCGAGGCGGTCCGGGCGGTTGCATTTCCCCTCTGAGGCTTAACTCCTTAAGCCTCAGCAGGCATATCTGAGGTGCACTCCTCACAATGTTGACGCGGTCCGAGGCGGTAAGGCGTAACCAAGGCGAAAGTCTCAATTTTAACAAGAATTTTAACAATTATTGGGCCTTTTTAACAAAAATTCTTTCAGGCATGTGCACTGCATAGTTTCTTAAGAAAAATGTTATAAACCTAGTAGATAATAAACACTTCTTTCCTAGACTTTATCGTCAACTTCTGTCTCTACATCTTCAATCATACTTCTTTCCATCTTTAGACTTCAGTGTCACAGCTTCTTGCTTGCGGTAGCGTCTAAGGCAACTGCTTCATATTTTAATTGTTTATTTTCTATTTCTTTCATCTTTTCCTTTCAACTTTTAACTTTTTAGGTTCCTTCTTTTCCAGCATCACTCTCCCTCTTTTAAATTCAGTTCAAACTTAAAGAATGTTGCAACTTTTTTTTGCATGAAGTTTTGTCCATGTTTAATATTTATAAGGTTTGAAGATGTATTTGAGACATTTGTGTTTTATGTTACTGTTTTTAGTTTTTATAATTCTATTTATTTGTGTTTTAAGAATTAAGATAGGGTACCATTTTTTTTGTAAAATTCAGGAATTATGATTTTATCATGAAAATGGATTAAGCATTTTGTTTTACCTCGAAGTACATATTTTGGTATTGTTTTTTCATATTGAATTAAGGCTTACGCCTCATTCCGCCTCGAGGCCCCTCAAGGCATTTTGCTCCACCGCCTTGAGGCTAGTTTTCACCTTTCAAAACCTTGACCTCCCCCGCAATTCAATTTAAGAACTCTTAAAAGCTGCACCAACATTTTTTGCGAATTTGACAACTAAATTAAGTTGGCATCATTCCATGTGTGAAATAACACATGCTACTAAAAACTTTTTTGTTTAAATTGAATGTGCATGGATTAAAACTGGAACAGAATGCCAACACAACTTTAAAAAGAAAGTTCACAATTGATATAATTCCAAAGACATATATGTACCGCATATGATCCTTATTAGGATGACTGAAAAGCATCCTTGTTATGATGATAAGATGATTACAAATGTATCATGTTAGAGAGGGAGAGGGGGCAAACAAACAGAGATGGGGTGAGTAGGGCAGTGTGAGAAACATAAAGTTTTACCAATTTCCACCCAATTTGCATGTCCTCATATATTGAGTAGTAAGGTGTTTCTAGGTCTTATTCAATGACTAGTCAAGAAAGATCCCCGTCACTATGTAAGATGTTAACTATGCAGGTTGCAGTTTTCCATGAAGGAGACATTTTGGCTGCAAGTAAAAGAAAAATCAACTCTGAGTGGGTATTTTTTCTGGTTATACTCCCTCTGTCCCCAAATAAAACTAAGTGTTTGACTTTCTGGTTATAGTCACTCTGGATTCCATATTGGATTTTTTCCTATGTACTCCCATCATTCAAAAGAGATGGGCATCTGTTTGACTTTCCTTTATCAAAGTTCACAAACTGTGACCAAAGTTTGAGGAAAATATACTCCGTACTAAAATTACCAACAACCCAGTAAAATCCCACTAAAGTAGGGTCTTGGGAGGGTATGTGATGTGTACATAGACCTTACCCCTAATCGAAAGTAGAAAGGTTGTTTCGAAGAGACACCAGCTCGAGCAACACAGAAAGCCCAGAGCACGACCAAACTAAAGTTACCATGTAAACTTATAACTTAATATCATTAGATTCATTTTGAAATAACATTTGGAATTATCATATTTTTAGACGGAGTATTATTTATCCATGTACAAAAATAGTCATTAATGGTCAAATTGTTAAGCTGGAGACCATAAAAAGTTAAAAATACACATCTTTTTGGGACTAAGGAGGTATATGCTAAAAAGAGACTGCATATGTGTAATTTTCCCATTTAAATAGTAGTGATCACATTATACTTTGTAGCTATCAACTATGGCACGTTCAAGCCAATGCATTACAACTATTTAATTTCAGATAGATCCTAGAATGGAGCTACTATAACAATGGCATTATAGCATGATTTCTAAAAATGCATGTGAAACTGTATTACAACTATTTAATTTTAGTTGGACCCTAGAATGGAGCTACGATAACGATGGCAGTATAGCAGGATTTCAAATAAATGCATGTGACACTTGGGAATGTTTTTAAGCAAATTATAAAATTGTACAACATGCTCTAGAATGTACTTTTCAAACTGACAACTAAGAAGAGTAAACTACTAAATTAATCGCATACCTTTCAATATTGCATTCAACCAAATTACATTGGATTCTCACTCTCTCAACCAAACTCATTAGGTAAACTAAAATTCTAATGATATCATGTTCCATGTAATCCTATTACTAAAGATTATTTAAGATTATCCGAACAGAACAGAACTCCCCTATCCATCTCAAGGCAGCATTTCATGTTTGTCAGAAAGAGCTAGCTGAGAAAGAAATGACACGCCAAACCTGGATAGATAAAGCGGGCCGGACACGAGTAGGTTGCTCCACACCAGATATGATGTTAAAGTCCTCGGACGCAGAATGGAAACGCTGGATATGAGCACGCAACGCAAAGGGTCAGGTCGTGTTTTCACGCAGAGCGAGGCACACACGGGCGGAGTAAGGGTGGAGAGTAAGGATAGATGCGGCGGAGACGGAAACTCCACCCTCTACAGGTTCGCGGAAACCAGAAGTTCAGATCTTTGGAGGACTAGGGTTGGCTGTGATTTTTTACTACTTTAGTACTTTCCTAGTCTCTGAAAAATTTGACACCATTTGACTTTTTTATTCAAATTGTGATTTTTTTTACTTCAAATTATGAAAAATGTATATTTAGTTATAGTATATATCTAACAAAATTAGGTTTATTTTCAAATATAATTTTGACATATCAAGTTATTATAGTATTTAATTATTTTAAATTATATTTAATTCGTAGTAAAAAAGTGTCACAGTTTGACCAAAAATTTAAAACACTAAAACTATGTCAATCTTTTAGACACGGAGGGAGTATATTTTTCAATTGCTCATTTTTCATTTTTGCCCCGCATTCTAATTAAGCTTGTGTTCTCTTCACTTGATCTAATTGAAATAAGTTCTTATCTGATCCAAATGTTATTATATTCAAAATTGTTTCTGATCTAACCTGGTCTCATATGATTCCAATAAGAAAAAAGTACTCCCTCCGTCCTAAAACTTTCTTCTCAGTTTGACTTTTCCCCATTTTTAATTTTTGGCTTTGACTTCAAATTTTACCCTTCTTAAAAAAGATTTTTTGATTTTTTTTGCAATCATTCAAAATATAGAGTTAGAAGATAATTGGTGTAAATACATGAGGATATTAATGTCATTTGTCATCTTTTTTTTCTAATGGGAAGGTAGTTTTAGGACGGAGAAAAAAGAGAAGGGGAAGAAAGTTTTAGGACGGAGGGAGTAATAAGTAATACTCCGTAAGAAAAAGTTGAGAAAAATATGGCTTAATGCTCCGTATTTTTCATTTTATTTGGGCACAAACAATTTTGACTAGACCTCTTAATCAAATCAATGGATTTAATTTTTGTTCAATTTGGCTATGAGTATAATTCGTATCTTTAGAGCATGGGAGTTGCTTGCAGATGGTTATTAACTAAAGAAATCACCCTACATAGCACTCTAACTCACCCTAAATTACGCATTTAGCAATACTCATTGTTTTTAACAAATTTAGCAATTTATGGTGTCAATCCTTTCCAATCATACCCTTTACCCCTTTTTCTTTGTTTTTTCATTAAAAATTACGGCATTCAACTCCAATCTCTCCTTCCGTTCTCCCGCACGCTATTGAACTCCACGATCTCTCCTTCCGTTCGCCGGCGATGATGCGTCCTCAGTCCTTCGCCCACGATTCCTTGGCCGATCAGCAGCGGCAATCATCAGGTTCTCTCTCATGCTAATCTTTGATGTCGCTAATCATTTTCTCTTCTCCTTCAATTTTTAATTTTCATTCCTTCATCCTTTTATTCGGATTTCCCTGTATTTTTAGTATTAGTTATTGTGTTTTCTTCGTATTGAAGATTAGGTGTATGTTGTGAAATCAATTTTGAAATACCAAGTATTTGTCCCTTTTGAAAAATTAGGTCTTTTGAAAGGCATTGTGATTTTGGCAGTGTGAAGATTAGGTATTATGGTGTGGGCAGTGTGAAGATTAAATGTTAAAATTTTGTCTTGCATCCTTTTATTCGGATTTCGCTGTATTTTTAGTTTTAACTAGTATTTTGACCCGTGCCACGCACGGGGTCGAATGAATATTTTTGTCGATTCAAAAAATATTTTTAGGATTAAATAAAATATATTTCTAACATAATTTTTGAATATTGTACACATTAGCATTAAAGTAGAATAAATATAATAACAATTTACATTTTGTGATGAAATTCTTATACATGAAATTGAAAGGGTACATGACAAAGTGCTTCTAATGTTTCATGTCACCTATAGTTCACTCGGATTTCGGCAAGATTATCACTAATCGTCGCTATATTTTCACCAGACAAAACATAAGCACTAACTCTTCATGTATCAAAGGCTATGTTTTGTGTCTTATCTTATTTTGGTCAAATAAAGTTGTGCGGCCAAGTTTATTAAAGCTTGTGGAAACTTACCTGAGACCCAAACTGAAATTCAAAAACTCTCCATTAGAGGAAATAATAAATGCACGGAGGATGTGTCACCTCATAAGGCAAAACTTGATGAACCTTTGAAATTTGGTTCATGGCTCCATGACCTATTGAGAATAAAAATCTTGATTTACAACCTAACAACTCTCTCAAGCCTACAAAAGTTTGCAATGAATGGGTAAAGGGATCATGCATTCATGTCCTTTCCTCTATACATTTAGTAGGTATTATCCTGAACAATCTTGTAATTGTCATATAATAGCTTCTAATCTTCGATGTTCTTGAAATCATGGTGAAAGCCCATTTCGGAAGAGTGAATTTGGCTAAACTCGAGGCTAAAATAAATGGAGTAGCTGAAATTGTATTCAAGTAACATTAAAAGTAGACAAATTAGCTAGCTCCACCTGTTATACATTATTTCACTTTTATGTGTAAATATTGAAGTGATAAAAAAACCATAAAAGTCATAATATAGTAGAAAAAGACAAATTGTTGTTGATACCATATAGTAGGGTTAAACATTTTTCATATTTTCCAGCAAATAAAAGAACAAACTACCTTCATAAGATGCAGCAAAAACAAAAAAATACAAAAAGTATGTGATTAATAATTACCATGAAAAACACATAGCCTTCACACTAAGGGGTTGTATTGAGCTTCAAGAAGGCACAAAAGAAAGCCCATCTTTCCCCATATTAGGGCAAATAATCAAAAAGGTGAATTAACATTGGCGTTGTGTTGTCTGCAAAATGGGCGCAATGTAGAGAAAATAGTCTAAAACAAACTAAAGTTTTAAGGAAATGCCCATTCATTGTTCTAGAGTTTCCATTGAAAAAAGAGTTGCTTTAGGATTGTGTAATTTATTCCAAATAAACTTCGATGAGAGAAGTCACACCATGGAACGCACACTTATTAAAAGAAATGTAACATGTGGATCCTGCTATTTTCCTAGGCAATTGAACTATAACTGATTTAGGAAATCATGATCGCCAGCTAGGATATTTCCCTAATTACTTGCCTTAGAAAGAGAAGAACGCATGAGAAAGTCAATCCTCCTCGTTTGATTTGTTGAGCTAGCTCTGCAGTAATGGCTATAAAGGAAAAACTTCATATGAAGAATAAGGGGAATAAGTGTCCACATATACCATGATTTAAAAAAAAGAAATAAAGAGGAGATTGGTTATAAGTGAATGAGTCCACATAATTAGTATATGTATGCGCACAATTGCAAGGATTTCTCTAATGGCTGGATGTATACCAGAACCATGCGATATAGACTGCATATTGAATAAATTCTAGTTTTAAGTCCAAACCAATGGAAGATCAACATTAGGAAGATGATAGAATTGGCTCACTAAAGAAAATATAAAGAAAAAGGCAAAGATAAATTTTACCTACGTATTATAAAATTATTGGTAAGAAAAAGTTAGAAAGGTGATAATGGTACTTAATAAAAGAAATAAATTATATTTTCAAATCACCTACTGCGAACCTTATTATTTTCTCAATAATTCTTACCAGACTTCTTCAAACTATGTCATTGAGATAGTAATGTCATACACAATCTCAAAAAAAGACCATCAATTAATGAATGATTACAAAAGTATTTACAGTAAAATACCATCAATACCATTGTGTATTTAGTGAATACCATTAAACCTGTATAGTCAGGCATAGACTATATTAAAATTCAAGGAATGCATATAAGAAACTTTTCCCAGTTGATTAAGATTTAGACCAGATTAATTCTTAAACACGTATCTATTGTGTTATATTGTGTGTCACGGAATCACAGAACATACAAAGAGAAGGAGAAATGTGCAAAGAAAGTGAGTTCAATTGTGGAGCAAATTTAATTTTCAAATAGTAAACTTGATTTTCTTTTTCAACATTTACTTCACTTCAAAGATGAAAATTTCATCAAGCATGGAACGTTGGTAATTATATACATTAAAAGAAAATAAAATGATCCATAGAGAAATAAAAATTGGTGGTAAATTAATGATAGGTAGAACTAAATAGTTGGGAAAAAGATAATGAAACAAAAGGATATGGTGACCACTGACCACTTGAACAATGTTTACGAAAGGTTCATGCCATCAATACATTGCAGATATCAAAACATTTTCCACACAAACAATCCAACACCAATGCATATTTTTTTTTACCTCAATTATAAGAGAAGAATCTGACAAAAAAAGTAGATTCACAATGTAATACTCATAGAGAACATTAAAAACTAAAATGCTGAAACTATAAAGTAATTGATACTTCTAATCATTTGGTAATAAACAATATTATCTCAATAGGAAAATGAATAAATATATGTATAGACGTAACTAAAGTGTGAAAATAAACTCTAAAAAATGATGATTAACATATAAATCTTCAAACATATTTAACAAATGAAAGAAATATGGAATGGTGTTTCTGATTAGGAATGTGAACGACATATGTTTATAAATCTATTCACTAATGATCAAAATATATTAAAAAATTGTTTCATAACGGGATTGTTGAAGCATCAAAGATGGAGATTAGAAAAAAATACCTGAGGATGCTCGATATAATGAACTCCGCGATGCTTGACTCTCGCACTCCATCTCTGATTTGATGACAACCAACTGGTTGAGAATCCTTGTTCGAAGCCTAAATTGGGGCCATTTGGATGACTGGAGATGAGAATTTCAGCAAATTTCTTCAATTTAAGAAGGAAACAGATTTGATAACACAATTGTGGCAGATATCATGCACTGGCATCGGAAAAGGAAACAAAATTATTGTGAAAAAATCAATGATAGGCAGAATTAAATTGATGAGATAATATAATGAAAAAAAGGGAAATGGTGAGCAATTGAACAATGTCCACGAAATGTCGATGTCGTCAATACGATGTAGATACAGGAACAATTTCCACTCAAATAATCCAACATCTATGCATAAATTTTCTTTTACCTCAATTATAGCAGAAGGGTCTGACAAAAAAGTAGATTCACAATATAATACTCATAGAGAACATAAGAATTTAAAATGTTGAATACCTCTAGTCATTCGAATATATACAATATTAAACTAAAGGCTAAATCATAAAAACAGATCTAAAGAACGATGATTAACATACACATCTTTGAACACATGTAACCAATGATTGAAATCTGGAATGGTGTTTCCGGTCTGGAATGTGAACGACATATGTTTATAAATCTATTCAATAATGATCAATATATATTAAAAAAATTGTTTCATAACTGGATTGCTAAGCATAAAAATGGAGATTAAAAAGAAATACCTGAGGATGCCGATGTAGTGAACTCCACGATGATTGGCTCGTGCACACCATCTCCGATCTGACGGCTGCCAATTGGTCGAGAATCCTTGTTCAAAGCTTTAATTGGGACAATTTGGATGATCCGAGATGAAAATTTCAGTAAATTAACTCAATTCGAAAAAGAAACAAATCTGATAGAACAGTTCTTGTCTGAATCATGCACTGGCATCGAAGAAAGAAACAAATCTAGGAACGAAGAAGGAAACAACTTTGCAAAAGAAGAAGCAAATTTCGGGAATTTGAGGGCGAGGATTGGAAATATTACGAACGAAGAAGGAAGCTCATTGGACATCGTCGTAGAAGAAGAAGGAAATTAGCTGAATCGTCGGGAACGAAGAAGGAAAATTTCCGTCAAGATTGCTGGACATCGCGTGAATAGAGTAAGAAATTAAAGCCCGGTCAAACCAAATTAAAAAATTTTTGGGTGTTACCACATCCACATGGCACCACACGACATGGCATGCTGATTTGGTTTAAAAAATGCCTTGTAGACGTGTCAAATGTCAACATTCTGGAAGTTTAACTCCCAAATATTATATATAAAGGAATATTGTGTTTTGTGGCAGTGTAGATATATTGTGACAGTGTATATATTGTGGTAGTGTATTTCAGACATTGAATTTTTGGCAGTGTATATATTGTGGCAGTGTATTTCAGACATTGAATTTTTGGAAGTACATATTGTGGCAGTGTAGAGAGTATATATTGCAGTGTATAATTACCATAAAAAATAAAAGGTCACGGCATAAAATGAATTCTGCTCTTTTTTTTTTGCAGTGTTGTATGTGTTAGGGCACTAAATTCAATCTCAAACATATTGTGGCAGTGAAGAGCAGAGAATTTCATACTTATTTATAATGTGGCAGTGAAGAGTATACATTGCAGTATAATTCTAATTTTGGGAGTTTATTTAAGGACAAAAACGGGAATTCATCCCAAAAACTAATAGCACAGCTATTTTGAGTATTATAAGGCTATTAAAGTGCTATTTTCGTATTTCTCCCTATTAACTACTACGTAAGACATAGGCCTTGTTTGGAACATGTCAGTTGGTAGTTGGCTGTTGGCTGTTTATGTTGGCTGGTTTGAATGACTGATTAAGTTAGCTGTTTTGACCGGCTGTTTCTGTTAGCTGTTAAAAATTAGATGTTTGGCAACTTTAGCTGTTTATAGTTAGCTGTTAGTGAGTAAAATTACATATAAGGACATCCCTTCATTTATGTTAATTTGTGTATGATTTTAAATATTTTTTAATTTGATAAAATACACACATTATACAAGAAAATGCTTTACATATATTTTTTTTGTTGGACAAAAAAGGCTACTTCGTTTTTTTTAATTTAAGAAATGAGAATTTACATTTATATTCTATGTAGATTTTTTTGTATTTTTCTTATTTATCATTCTAAAAATAACAACCATGCATGATATATTTTATTTTATAATTTTTTAAATATGATATCATAAATATATAAAAATACTCTACACAAATTTTAAATTAAAAAATTACATAAATTACTCGAGACAAGCATCGCAATCTAAAGTATCAAACATCTTTTGAGACGACATGAGCATTAGAGGTGACAAAAAATCAGACAAGCTCTCGACTAGTCAGGAAATTGCAGAGAGAAAGTCAAGAAAACTTCCGGTTCTGTGAGGATCGCAGAGAGACGCAGCACCGAAAAAAGGGTAAGAAACGGAAAAGGGGGTGAACCGCTAAATTAAATGCTGCTAGGGTTGGCATTTCAATTTTTGGCTGTTCGGTTCTAAATGCCAATTCCAAAAGCCATTATCCAAACAATTAATTTGGCGGTTTGACTGGTCCAATTCACCGTTTATGGTCAAAGATGCCAATTGCTGGGTGAACCGTCATTTACCAAACATGGCCATAGTTATTTCATTAAGCAACTTTGTTGAAAAATGAAGCAACTGGTGTTACACATGTATTCCACATAAATTCCACATCAACTCTTTTAGTTGAAGTAATTTCTTAAGCATCTTGCACTAAAGATCCTTTTATACTTTTTGCCTACGATTTTTTTTTGCACTTGGACTTTTTTTAGTCAGAGTTTGTAAGCTTTGATTTTGATATGTGAAAGAAATATAACATAGTATGGTAATAGAGGATTGGAAGCAGATGGTATTTTCTTATATTTCATTTTTGTTCGTAAGTCGTGAGCGTAATGTTATTGCACACTTACACGCATGCTTGTGTGTAGTACTTTATCTCATTGTAGTGTTTGGGAGTGTCCCCAACATTGTTTCTTGGCGGCTCCTTTGGTGCCATTTCAAAATTGAGTGTTTTGAAATACTCCACATGTGGTCCACTAAGAAATAGTCATGTGGAAATAATATTTCACATCAAATTATTCTTTTTTATTAAAATTGGCCCCAAACCTAAATTGAATTGTGTTTCTTTCCTTCACGGCAATCTCCTGTTAATTGTTTTTGAGAAATTTACTTAAATAGCATTAAAACATAATGACTTTTTCTAAATAGCACCACATGTGTTTTTCTTCCCAATATAACATTTTTAGTCATTATGCATTAGTCATTATTCAAGCAAATATTTGCCATCACTGGACATTATAGACATTATTAAGGAAAAAATTACTGCTAGGTACCCTAGATTATGTGATAAGAACTGTCAGGTCCCATTATTTTTTAAAATGTACTCCGAGGTACCTTAAAATAACAAAAAACTTACTCCGAGGTGACATTCCGTCACTTTCTCCGTTAAACTCCATTCTCCGTTAACTTTTTCTTCTTCTTCTCCATTTTCGATTTCTTCTTCTTCCTCTTCTTCTTCTTCTTCTTCTTCTTCTTCTTCTTCTTCTTCTTCTTCTTCTTCTTCTTCTTCTTCTTCTTCTTCTTCTTCTTCTTCTTCTTCTTCTTCTTCTTCTTCTTCTTCTTCTTCTTCTTCTTCTTCTTCTTCTTCTTCTTCTTCTTCTCCTCCTCCTCCACCTTTTCCAGTCCTCCCTCCTCCGCCTACGGATCTTCTTCTTCCCATCCTCCCATTTTTTCTTCTTTTTTTCTTTTTGAACTCTTTTTTCTTCTTACCTATTATTATTATTATTATTATTATTATTATTATTATTATTATTATTATTATTATTATTATTATTATAAAAAAATTAATTAGAAGTTTTACCATTCTTATTCTTTTTTACTTCATATTTATTATTATTTTCTTCTTATTCTATTATATTTATTATTATCATTAATTACTCTATATTATTTTTATTAATAATTATTACTATTATTATTAAAAATAAATTATTCTTTTTACTTTTATTTTTTAAGAAAAATAACAGTAATAATTACTATTTACTTCTTATTTTTTTTTTCTTCTATTTTTTTTACTTTGTATGCCCCCATTGACCCTTTTCAATTTCTAATTTTTCACTTCCGTAAAAGTAGGTTAAAATATTTTTAAGCTTTTATTAAAATTTAATTTTAGTATGATATATTTATGTGTAGGTTATAAAATTAAGATTATTTATTCACTTGGAAGAAGAAGAAGAAGAAGAAGTTAACGGAGAATGGAAAAGTGACGGAATGTCACCTGGGAGTAAGTTTTTTGTTATTTTAAGGTACCCTGGAGTACATTTTAAAAAATAATGGGACCTGGCAGTTCTTATCACATAATCTAGGGTACCCAGCAGTAATTTTTTCCATTATTAGTGCTATTTAAGGAATAAAATCGTTTAAGTGCTATTTGGGGAAATGACTTAAGTTTTAGTGGTATTTAGTGCAAATATTTCATTGTTTTTACAAAAAGTCGTCTCCATCTCCAGGACAGCGTCTCCAATTCGTGAATTAGTCGCCGCCGCCTTCATCATTCAGAGTCGCCTGACGAAGAATTAGCAGCGCCATCTACGGATTTGCCCCTTCCGTCAATTTTTCGCTCAAGTTCCCTTCCATCAATTTTTCATCTATTAATTGCAGTTCTTGTGACACTTACGAGTATTGTGAGACTTTGGAACACAATACTCTAATAGTTATATCTGAACATATTTGGACACACTATAGCAATAATAATTTGATTAAATTTTAACGTGGTGGTTGTAAATCTATTGATGCAATGTCTTTTATTATTTAACAATAAGTGTTTTTCGAATTTTTTAAAATTATTTTTATTTTGTAACTTTAATTTTATTTAATTTATAATAAATTTTTGTAATTATCTTCTCTAATTTGATTCTCCTAAATATAAACCATTAGATTTAATATTTTTTGTAATTTATTTGTCATTTATTACATTCTAATAAAAATAAATATTATTTTAAAATATAATATGGAGTATGACTTATTTAAAATAATGAATAAAGTAAAGTAAAAGAGGACCCATTAATAATTGAATTAATGGACGGATGAGTGAAATGAGTTGTGACTTGTGATTGTTGTGAGTGTGTGTTTAAAAAATAAAGTATTTAAAGATAGGTGGTGTGGTGATGATGTGGATGAGGTAGAATGATTAGATGGATGAATTTTTAATTAAGGAATGAAGATGCTATAATTTGACGTCCAATTTTTGCCCGACCATATTTTATGAATTTTAATTTTTTTAGAACCAATTTTTTTGGGTTAGAACATTAAATTTCAACTCCTTCCAACTCCTTAACAATGACTTAAAATAACATTATATATCTGGATTTATAACATATCACTTCAAACACGCACAAGGATGATTTCTTTTTTCTTAATCTAAAATTAGAGTTTCTTACATATTTATTTGGATGATCATTTAGTTGAGTAACTTTCCAACACTTTAATTCTTCAAACACTTTCTGACTCCTTCCAATCCTTTCTTATTCCTTCCAACTCATTCCAGTGTTTTCCAACATGTAACTCTGAAATTTCAACCCAAAAGAACATGGCCTTAGTATTCTTATAAATTACTACTTCTTTCTCAAAGAACCTTTCATGTTTGGGTAGTGATAGCCACACTCGCTAAAACACTAAATACACCCATCAACTAAATGCACCCCGGATATATTATTATGTTATTATTCAAAAAATTATATAACTTTATTATGTTAAAAAAACATAATAAAATAATGTTTAAAACTATTCATCATTTATTTCATTTTATTACTTTTCAAATAAAATAATATATATTTTAGTCTTAATTTTAAATATAAAAATTTGGCGCCTCTTCTTTTAATTTTTCTTTGATTAAAATAACTTTCATTGTTAATACATTGAATGGCCTTTGATTTGTAAAAAATATTCTACTTTCTAAGTATTATATCGATATTTATTTCACTATTTTTAATCTACATACTTATTTTATTATTTTAAAAAATTGGTTATATAAATTTTACTTAAAAATTTTATACGAGTATAATCTTTAAAATTATTCACCATTATTCTCTTTCGTTTATTTTAAGGAGAAAAAATCCTTATAAATGTTACTAAATGTGAATTATTATTAAACCTATAACTTTTATTTTAAAAGATATCATATTTAATAATTAAAATTAACTTTGTGTTTAGTAGAATAAAATATAATTATTATTAAACTATTATTATATTATGATTCAAACTAGAATTTTTACCAAAATCTTAAAATTACAAAATGTTGTATATGAGTTCAAGGATTAAAAATAATTTTTTTGAATAAGTATTAAAAATAATTTTGAAACTAATGGAGTGAATTTAGTGTGTGGAGTAAAGTTAGTCTTTGAATGGGTTGTGACTATCACCACATTTCACATTTTAACTTTTTATCAAATTGTAACACTTTTGACAATAAATTACGAAAAAATATACTTAAATATAATGCAAATTCAATGTAAGTGGATTTGTGTTAGGATATAGTTTTGATATATCGAATTTTTATAATATTTATTTATTTAAATTATTTTAATTTGTTGTAAAAGAGTGTCGGAGTTTGACAAAAAATTCAAAGCAAGAAAACGAATTTGCGACAGAGCCACATGGGGGGTTTTAATTTAAATATAAGTTTATTTATTTTAATTTTTGAATAACGTACGTAGTTTATGGTAAATTTTGTCCGGGAATAAGCTTCCTACTTTGACTTTTCCTCATTTTTAGTGGAGGCTTGAATAAGACATGAAATGCCTAAATTACCCTTCTCTTCCTTTCCCAGCCCTGCCACCATTGAGAACCCACCACAGCCTCCACCGTAGCCCCTCCCCTCCTCGCCGCCAGCCCAGCCATTGCCGTCAGCTCCACCATCCATCCATTCTCCGACCATCTCCACCATCCCCCTCCACCATAATCGCTCCACTCTCACCATCACCGACATAGCCCTACCATTAAATCTCAAAGAAATAAAGAATTAAGAGAAAGAAATTAGAAGAAAATTGCAGATCTAGGCTTACCACGGACGCATCCTCACCATCGCCGCCCCCTAACATCGGTGCCACCCTTACCAGCAACGCCATCATCCCCGCTAACACCATCGTCGTCGCCACCATTGCTGCCGCCACCATCGCTGCCAAGCTCAAATCTGGAAGAGAGATGAGAGAAATAAGAGGAGATAAAGAAGGGAAAAGATGAAGGGGAAAAGTGAAGAAGAGGAGATGACGAAGGAAGAGAGAGGAGGAGAAAGAAGAAGAAAAAAGAAAAGAAAATTGAGTGGAGGAGAGGAGAGGAGGATGAGATGACGGAGGAAGAGAGGAGAGAAAGAAAGGAACGAAAAAAGAAGAAAAAGTGGAAGAGAGGAGAGAGTGAGAGACGGCAGCAGAAAAAGAAAGAAGGGGGTAATTTGGGAAAAAGTGGTATAAAGTAGTAGAATGAGAAGATTATTTTCGGACGAAAAAAAAGGTAGAGTAGGAAGTTTATTTCCGGACAGAGGGAGTATAACATTCTTTGTGTAACTGTTAGATATGATAACCAGATAAGAAATTTTAAAACATATATATTTTAAAAGTACACAAAAAAATTAAGTGAAAAATATTATTCTAATAAATATTATTGTGATAAGTATACTCCGTACTGTATATGTTATGAAAAATATTATTGTGATAAATAAGTGTTTGAAAAATTTTAAATTTTTACGATTACCAAGTTAATACTTTAATCCAAAAGGGGCTGCAGACCTAGACGGATTAGGGTGTTACAAGTCACTTGGTCTTATTTTTGCTTGCTTGTTGTACCAAAATAGGCCATATGAGTGATTGTTTATAGGCAAAACATTGATCGGATATGTGCTTTGAACTGAAAAGTTGTGTTTGTTCAGTACCTATTCGAATAGCATACATCATATTCAAATAGGAGACCGTTTTTGAAGGATCAGACGCATCTCTTCCATGACTTATTCGAGTAGGCGAAGACATATTGCAATATGTTAGCATATCAGATCTTGACCTATTGCAATAGGCTAAGACCTATTTGAATAGGCGCTCACAGTTCACGTCGTTCTATTTGAATAGGCAAGTGCCTATTTGAATATGTCAGCTATCTTGCTCCAAATAATAATATAATTGAACAAGAGTGTACTCCACACCTTTTAACTCGTTCCAATAGTTGATGTCCAGTCACTAAGTAAATTCAATTATCCAAATTAGACTGGTGACTCTAAAATCACCAACATGATCAATATTCATGCCACATCATTTTTTCCTTTTATTTTCTTCACTCACTCTAATCATTCCTCTATTTTTTTATCTTTGTTCCAAAATTTTTATTTTATTTTCAACCAATTAAATTTAATGCATCATCATTTTACACTCAGGCCCCGTTTGGTACACGGAATTCAAACTACGGAATTGGAATTGAAGATTTCAATTTCAATTCTCGTGTTTGGTAGCACAAAAATTATGTGAATTTGGAATTGGTACTTCAAAAAATGATTTGGAATTGGTGAATTCAATTTTATAAAATTGAATCCCATGTAATTTTAATTCCAATACAATTACAATTCTATTGACTCCGTGTACCAAACGGACCCTCAATAAAAAAATTTCTTACTTCAAAAGTATTTCATTTCCCTCTCAATTACACCTCTACTTTTTCCACCCTCTCTGGCCATTCTTCTTTGGCGCATAAATTATTCCTCCCCTTATTCTACTCCATAATCAGAGATGATGTTAGTAGAAAAGGATGAAATCAGCATTATGGCAATGTACTGTCAAGCTTTAAGGCACTTTAGCACACGCAGCTCATACAGGACCACACTACGTACGTGAAATTGCCATTGTGCAGTTGTGCACACATACTCCGTACTTATTATTGACTCCACTAGATGGCTAGACCCTCATTAGTTATTGGGACATTATTAGACCTTCTTTTGTTTCCTTTTTTGGTTAGTAGTTGCCAATGGAATACAATTAGTCATTTGTGGAGTAATATACTACATCTCTCAATTTAAATTTCTCTTATCATTTATCAGATTTACCTGAAGTTATTTTGAAATCAGTTTTTTAAAATTAGCATCAAATTAAAAAAATAAATATTTAAAACAGAAGCCTGGGTAACAAAAATAGGTAAAGAATGTGATCCAACTTGAATTTAAAAAATAAATATTTAAAAGTTTGACTCTGTGAATAGTAAACACAACTTGAATTGGGACGAATGAAGTAATACGGAGTACTAACATAAGTCATGCTAACCTTTAATAATAAGGATTTAAATCATTATTTTTCCAATATGCAACGATAATAATTATCTGTATGATCTCGACAATAAGTATCTTTGTATTACTATGAAATACATAGTATCAAATTTGATGTCAAAGTTAGTGTGGCTATGGCATAGCATGCTCACAATAATGAGCAGGTTTGGTAAATGAGTTTAAATTAGCTAGACGGACTAACTATTTTTACTAGATCTAGAATAATGAGTTAAGTCTTTGAACTAAGTAACTAAATATAGACAAGGAAATACCGAAAAAGTATGAGATGAAACACTTCCTTATTGTTATTATTGAGATTCGTGGGGACTACAATACTCCACCATTATCAAATAATTTGTGGCAATTAATTTTTGTGGAAAATAATTTTTTGTGGCAAATAATTTTTTGTTGGGGCCAATTTTTTTTATTGCAATTTAGTGGTATTAACTAAATTAATTAAAATTTTGATTGGGCAAGCGTCCCATTGCTAATGAGGTGGCTTCATATTATTCTTCTTTCATCAACACCCATCACTTTCCCCTACCCTCACTAACTATCCCCCCTTGTCACATAAGCTATTTTCCTCCATATACTCCTCAGCATTAGACCATTTGGTGTGGGTCACGTCATCACGTCATCCTACTTAGCGTCATGTCAGTTTTTCTCTTTCCCATTACAGTCCATCACACCACAGGGATGTGGATCACGCCCAATTATTTTTTAAATTTTTTAAACATATATTTAAATAAAAATAACTTTATATAAAAATATTAAATAAATATATATTAAAATTTCAATTAAAAATTACATTGACACAATAGTGAGGTGGCGCCAGGTGGCCATCACGGCGCACCACCCCACACCTTTTGGTCTTAGTGATATTTTTAAAGGTTGATGTGGCGCCAGGTGGCCATCACGGTGCACCACAGTCACCCACACCGGTTGGTCGTAGTGATTTCTTAAAGGTTAAAAACAAATTGTAATCGTTTGGCCACACACACATACATAGACAAACTGTAACACCCGCCTTCCGTGGACCCGGTTCACCCGCGACCCAACGGACCGGTAGGGTTACATGGGCGGTCCGAGAACCTTCCGTAGAGAAAATAACATTAATGTCCATTTATTTTGAAAACGGTGGTGATTAATTGGTAAAATAAATGCTAGGGAGTTACCCCCAAAACGTGTGTGACATAAATGCAGAGTAAAAGCGGAAGTAAATAAATAAGTCCAAAATAAGTAAAACGACATATGGTGGGTTCATGCCCAAATGATTAATTAATTCCAATGATTATAATTATTAAACTCGTCCGTGCGCCGCCCATCTTCCCATCATCACTGTCCTCCAGGGTTGGCACCTGTACCGTCATGTCTACCTGCGTGTAGCAAAAACAACTACACGCTCAGCAAAAGCTGAGGAGTACTGAATCTAACAAAGGAACATGAAGTGATAACCCATATGATTATACACATATTAATACCTGTACTTAACGTACGGAAAACCACATGTTACTAACTGATTAATTTGCACTTGATGAGATATTATTACCCATAACAAAATGAATATCAACCACATTAAACGTTGATGTGACGTGGAACATACATGATGATGACCACCACATTGAATGTTGACATGACATTGAACACACATGATGACGATATGACTTGATGCATGACTTAAACTATCAGGGACACCCCTGGCTTAGTCTCACTTGAAAGGATCACCCCTGCACTCCGGTAATGAGCCGGGCTAGACGTAAACGTCGCAAGTGAACTAGCAAAATTGGGTGGTAGCCGTAGCCTGACTACCATGTACGTACACAAAGCCTACCTGATGAAAACCCGTTGGATCCCAAAGGTTCCTAGACGGGCCCACTGTAGTAGGTGCACGAAACCCCTCCCTACAGTGGTATGCTCATGGTGATAAACCTAGGACATGCGTCTAGAATGAACATGATGAATGCTTGATATATTTACCTTTGGTCAACGCCAAGAATATATCAATTAAATAACATAATAATGAATATTAACATTTCATACAAACGTACAATCAGATTCTGAGTCAATATGGTCAACGAGGCTCGTTCTACAAACTGTCCGAAAAACTGCCCGAGAAACGGTCGACCGTACTCCACCGGCGGTCGACCGTGGGCTACATTGTGGAGGACTGGAATGCCGGCGGTCCACCGTGGTCTTCCGTCGCGGCCGGCGGTCGACCGTCACGGAGGTGACCATCGGTATGGCCGTGGGAACGGTCCACCGTCCGTAGCGGCAGTCGACCGTCCCGAAGACAGTCCGCTGTCCCTTGCTTCGTTTTGATCCGTTTTGCTAATTTAACACTTAGATTCTTTTTAGAACAATTGTACAACATTGATGAATATATTCCTAGTGATTCCTAGGCATATATATATATATATATATATATATATATATATATATGTTTTACGTAGTAACGTTTTAATGGCTAACCTACGAACATGCATAGATTCTACGTAGGTTGCGTACGATATTCCTATGAATATAACGACGTAGATTATAACTTGATGTTCTAGAATTAGAGGGGACAACTACTCACCTCTATATGATGCGTTGGAACTACGAAGACGACGAGGAATGACGACTACGCTTCGCACGAATGGTCTAGTTCTTCTTCTCTTCCTTCTCCCTCAACCGTGCACCCACCGGAGCTTCGTCAGAGACCTTCCTTAGCTGCTGGTCTGGCCGAACAAGGAGGAGCAAGATGGATGATGATGGAGACTTGATGAAGAAATAATGGTGTGGAAGTTACAAAAGTGAGAATGATGTGAATGGGAAGTGATGGGGTTGTATTATATTGTGTTTTAATGGAGGGATTAAAGAAGCTATTGAATGGACCATGATGGATGTGGAGGGGGGCCGAACCAAGGGACATGGGGGTTACAAATGTTTATTTACTCCGTTATGTAAAATCTGACCTGAACGGTACGCGTTTTTTTCCCCGAACGGGTTCGAATTGAGATCCGTTTGCGTTTTTGGAATCAGACAGTCAAAACGAATTTAATGACATGTTCAAATAATTTTTCTAAGAACTTTTATTTTCCCCAACTCTGGACCGGAACAGTAATCAATTATTTAAAACAAGCAACTCTAATAGACCGGGTTGTAGGGCGTTACACAAACAAATCTTACGGGTTTGGTCAGTTTTGGTTTTGATAGGTTCAGACCTAATCAACTCTATTTTAATGGATTTCAGATCTAATTCAAATGTGAATATATTCAATTCGATTTGGGTTGCAAATTGAATCATTTTAGTTTTCTAGGATGTTCTTGGTGAGCAAAAGAGAATGATTTTGATATCTCTAGACATCAAAATCTTTTTTGTTGTTTGATAAATTTCAAAGAGATATCAAGCTTTATATCTCCAAATATCATAAATTCTCAAATGAAGAATTTTGATATCTCACGAATTTGTGAGATATCAATATGAAGCTTTGATATCTATCTCAATCGTTAACCATTCTCCGTCACTACTATCATTATTACCACCATAGTGGCGCCAACCTCCCCTCTTGCTGGTCAGCGCCACACATTACTAATTAAATCATAATTTTAATTTCTTAAAACAACTCCATTCCAAATTTTAAAATCAATATCACTTCTCTTATATTTTAAACTCTTCCTTATCATGTCTCCAAAGCTTATCAAACACGCCTTCATTATAAATCGGACTTTCAGTTTTCAATTTATTTCGGATTTGATTTGGATTCGAATAATGGATTGGAGATGTATTTTGTGGAGGACCTTGTTTAGGATCAGCATTTTCGATTAGCATTAACGTTTTGAATAAAACTTTAACAGTATAAATTAAGGGTTAATAGCACGGGAGCCCCCTGTGGTTTACAAAAAGGGCGTCAAAACCCCCCATGTTTTCAAAACCCCCCAGGTTAATAGCACACATGCCCCCCTTACCTATTTTTAAAGCAAAAATGATATTTATGCCCTTTGTTTTCCCCGATCTTGAATTTTTCCAATTTCAATTTCATTTATTATACAAATATATAAAATAAAATATATGCTTTCCATCTCAAATTAGAATTTTTCATAATGTACTTTTGAAAAGAAAAGATTTTTTTGGAGAATGTTACAAAAAAATGAAAAATAAAATATTATGTACAAAGTAAAAAGTAATAATAGTTAAAAAAAGGTAATGAAAAGAAATAAAAATATAAAAAATAGTCTTTTTCTTTAACTTCATATTTTATTTCATCTTTCTGTTCTTCATTTTTTTAAGTCCTTAAAAAATTATTTTACCTTTAAAAAACAAATAAGTTAGAATTTTTAATTACAGATAGAGTGAGTATATGTTATCCAATTTTTTATTTTATTTATTTTACTTTTACTTATAATGAAAAAGTGTATTTTATTTCATTTTTGTAACATTTTCTAAAAAAATTATTTTTTTGAAAATTAAATAAATAAAAAATTTTAATTTGAGAAAGAGGGTGTATATTTTATTTTATTTATTTGTATAACAAAAAATGTAAAGAAAAGAGTGAAATTTTAAGATAGAGAAAAACCAAGGACAAAAATGTCATTTCATGTGTAAAATAGGCAAGAGGGGTGTTTGTGCACTATTTAAAAACCACAGGGGTTTTACAAATAACTTTTGAAAGTCGAGGAGGTTTTGGCGCTCCTTTTATAAACCACGGGGGGGGCATCCATGCTATTATCTCTAAAAATTAATTCTGAAAATGCTAACACCATATACTACCGTCAGATAACTTTTTTAAAATGCTAACACTAATCTTTTTAAAGACAATGTGGGAGAGAGGTCATTATCCGGTACCATAACACAACCACTGTTTTCCGTAATCCCCCTTACCATACCATACCATCTTTACTCCGCGGGCTCTTTATTTACTCCGTAATACGGAGTAAAAAAAAAGAAAAACGAGATGTCGGTCACGGAGAACCGCAGATAGGCCATAATATTATTACTCTTTCACTATATCTGGCGGTGCAGATGATGAGGATGTCTGTCCCTTAGTGAACAATTTTTTTTATTTATAATTATCTCTTTCTTGTTTTGTTCTTCAATGGAGTTTTCCATTGAAGCAAGCCAAGGCCAAGCTATGGTGAGTTCTATACAATGAACCCTTCTTGAGAAAAAAAAAAAAAGAAAAACCCAAACACGCTTAAGCGCGTCTACTGGTTTCACATTTATTCCTCTCTTATATTCCCCATCCCCACCTACCCCCACCCCACCCCCGCCCCCACCCCACCCCCTCTGTGATATTTTGCTCTCTTTATATCAGACTTTTCTAGTGTTTTACAGCTAATGTGTCCACATGTGTCATATGAGAGATTTATATGTGCAGATCCCTTCTTCAGCCAAACAAAATAGTTATCAATCCAAGGTAATTTCTTCTTGAGCTCTCTCTGTTTTGCTTACAAGTTCTTTTTTTTCTTCTTCAAGTTATCTTTTTTTTTAAACACCTTATCATCAAGTCGAATTATGTGAAATTTCTGCTTTCTATGTTGCCCAAATGGAGCATTTCTTTAATTTTTCAGGCATGCATGGATTCTTGTTTTCCTGTTGTTGAGTGTGTTTTTTATGATAAGGTTTTCACTTGTAAAAAATATTCCCAACCACATAGTTTCCATGTTATTATTGTTTTTGCCCAACAAATTGGATGAAGTGCAAAATACAGTATAGCAGTATACAGTATTGTTGTGATGATGATTTTCTTGAAGACAGATGGAGAAAACAGGGGACTTTTTTTTCAAGAGTTTTTGGGGGAAAAATGGCAATAGAAAAATCTCTGTTGTTTACCAGTACCTTATACAGAGAGATAATTGGATCTTACTCATTTAATTGACATGCAGTAATGGCCACAGAAATCAATTGCCTCACCAACAACCCATACTCCCTCCATTCTTTTGTAACCGTCATTCTACTAAATGTTTGACTAACAATATCTCCTAAAATATATTAACTAAAAAAGTGCTGAATAATATTTTTGCGGTACAAATATTATGGTGTACTTTTTATCTTTTATTTCATTTATATTTTTATTTATAGTTTTAGTCATACCATTGACATGAAAATCAAACTAAACGTACTATCTTCTCACCCATTTATTTTCGGATTGATCTTTAGTGAGGAAGGGCGGGTGACGGAGACTATTTAAAAACGAATAGAGGGAGTATACACTTTACGGGTATTTTGGTAATTCCACTTAGGCTTTGTTTGGAACTATTAACATTTGCGTTTTGAATAATTTGTTAATGGGTAAGAATAAATTTGAAATTGCTAAAGCTAAAGACTACGGACGTTGAATAAAATTTTCAAAATGTTGAAGTCATGTCAAATGGAACCATAATTTTTTTTTAAGGAAACTGAACCATAGTTTGTTTACTAACTACAGAGTATAGTTAGTGCACAATTAATTTTTGAAATTCCAAAATAGAAGAGCAGGCAATTTAATTCAGATGGATGGAGTAGTCAAATATTCCAGTCTCTCATTAATTTTGTGTTCTATTAAAGCTCAGTACAATGTGTGAATTTGATGATATTTGAACAGGAATGACATAATTGCAACATTTGCATGGTGTTTAAAGACAGGCTCTAATGGAAGACAAGCAACTAAATTTTAACCAGCCCCTTCTCTCAGTACGGCGAACCGAGGCTTCCTCCTCGTTCACTGTTCCTCCACCATACAAATCAGAGCTCAAGTCGGGACCCGTTAGAGATCCCGGGGTTGTGCCCTTCCGCTGGGAACACAGCCCAGGAAGACCAAAACACCCTTCACCTTCTACTTCACAAACCCATCCTATATCTGCTCAAGATCATAAAAAACCTCCCATTGTCCCAAATCTTCCCCCGGGCAGAACTTCAAATGCTGTTATCGCGACGAGTTTTAGCAGTTCAAATGGTAGTGTGGTGGAGGAAGATGAAGAGGGGGAAGAAGAAGAAGGGAGAAATGAGTCATTGTCCGGTCAAGATGAGAGTTATGTAGATGCACTCGACACGATTTCAAGCACACATGAATCTTTTTTCCTAAATTGCAGTGCTAATAGTGGCTTAAGCTTCGCGGCAGACCCTCAAACTAGGGATTTCATGATTGACCGGTTTCTGCCAGCAGCCGTGTCAATGGCTTCAGAAATGCCTCAATGCACTCCCAAGAAGCAATCGCCAGTTGACGAATTACAACCAAGACATCATCTGATTTCCATGGCAAAGGCAGACAGGAGGAGGCCTCAACTGCGTTATGGACCAAGTTTTGCACACCATTATTACCAGTCTCATGATTATGCAGAAGAAAGATGTGATGACGATGAAGATGATGATGATGGTGGTGGGTATTTGCCTTCTAAAGCATGTGGTTTAATACCCAGCTTTTGTTTGAAAGGTTCGTTTTTCCTTATGAATCCGGTACCGGGTATGAGAGGGAGGACTCGCGTACCCATGTCTCCAAACTCTAGTAGAATGCAGACCGGTTCCTCATCTGCTGCTTCTTGTAGTGGAACAGATAATGAGGTATCAACTTTTCTTTCTTTTCTAGAAGTAAATTTCACCAAACCCTCTGAATTTGATCCCCAACCAAACAAGGCCTTAAAAACATTGTCAATTATGTGCCCAAAGATGAAACATTGTCAAGAATGACTCTTTTAGCTCCATTGACAATTGACTGAAAATAAGGCCTTGGCAAAATGTTTTTTAACCCTTCAATTCTAATGAAATATGATGTTGTTCTAATTTAGCAGCGATCAACATCCGATGTAAGCGAGCGAAACTCAGTTGTTGGGCTTTTAACCGCGGAGCCTCATGAAAACAATGATGAATTTGTGGATGAACTAAAAAATAAGTCTACTCAAAAAATAGATGATCACAAGCTTGATGGCATCTTAGCTTGCCCTTATGAACCTTCACCTCAAAGCCATGAGATGAAAACAAAAGAAGATTCGAGATTTTGTGCAATAACAGAGAAAACCCTACATGTAAATTCTGTGCAAGATTCAAAAGGAGAACACAGCACATTGGAAGATTCTCCTTTCATAGAAGCTAGCAACAGAAAAGAAGGTTTATTAAGCAATCCAAGTAAGGTTTATGGAAAAGCCCAATTGTTCAGAAGCCCCTACAGTGGAGTTAATGGAAGTTCCATTAAAGAAACACAGGCAATGAAGTCTATAGATTTTCCGGTACCCCCACCTTTACCCATGTCTCCATCAGAATCATGGCTTTGTAGGACATTGCCCTCACTTGCCACAAAGCATTCATCACTACAACGGCCCTATATTTTTGGAAAAGGGGATCCTAGGAACCAGTCATGTAAGGTCTCATCCGGCGATTCCAAATGGGAAACCATGGTTAAAACAACAAAGGGGCATCACCAGCATTTACGGTACTCTCAGGTAAATGCATTTTGCTTGTTATTGGTACCTTCATCATCATCCCCTTAATCCCAGTTACATTTGTAGAGATTATTGATGTCGACGTGCAAAAACAGTATTTTGGCAAACTTTTAACCAGACATCATTGAGACTATCTTTTGTTCTTTTAAATTTACTGAACTAAATTTACTGGAAAGTAGTGAACTGAAGTGAAAAACAAGTTGAAAAGAACAAACCCATTAGTGGTAACTTTTGTTGGCTATTGATTCTGTTATTACCCGGCGTAGTAATCATTTAAAAAGTTACCAAATGCTAATTGTTTGCTTTGCTAACAGGAGCTAATGGCGCTGGCACCTATTCCAGAAACTCAGTAGTGGTCTTCTTGTGATGTCCATTGGCTCTTCCATGTACTTCAATCCACCACTACAATGAATTCCAAAGTCAACAAATGTCAATAAATACGGAGTATATAAATAAATGAAGTTTTTTTTGGTACTTAAAAACATGTTACTCTATCGTTTACTCTTTTCATACCAGGACAGTGGGGGTCATAATTGTGTATCCTCTTACATGCACCCATTTCCTGCCATGTAAAATGTAACTATGTACTGCTACATCACCCCATTTGCTACTATAATGTTGATTTCCAATTTACCTCTTCATATATATATATATATATATATATATATGTGTGTGTGTGTGTGTGTGTGTGTATATGTATATGTATATGTATATGTATATGTATATGTATATGTATATGTATATGTATATGTATATGTATATGTATATGTATATGTATATGTATGTGTATATGTATATGTATATTAGCATCACTATAATATTTGTTTATTCGTGTGTTTTCATAAAATATTTGATATTCCGTAAAATAAAGTAGTTCTATTAATTTTTTGTTTTGTAGAACTTTTGACAAAGTTTTTAATGTGTAAAATTTATTTTTTTATTTTTACACTAGCTTTTAATTGAAGGAATTTAAAAAAGCATGTGATTTTGACTCGTAACTCCATGCAATATAGTCTATTTAGAGATGGAGGGAGTATAATAAAGAGATCTCTCCGGCGGTGGCGGATTTAGGAATCACAAAGACTAGGGGTGAGACCAGTACGGGGGTTCGGGGGCAACGTCCCTGTTTTATAATATATTTAAAAATAGCAATGTTAAATTTAGAATTTATTGATTTCGACTCAGTGAAGAATTCAAATAACTACTAAAAAATCTAAAAAATACTTCTTATAATTTTAATTTCTCTTAAAAATAATTTCAAATTATATTCATTTTATTTCAAATATTCACCTTTTAATTTCTCTTCTTTCAAGGGTACATATTTGATTTTTTACTTAAAAATTATTTTTATTGGGGGCATTTCACTTTTTTATGGGGGCATAACAATTTTTTTTTATTTAAAAAATAGGGTACTATCAAAATTTTTTGAAATTCATTGGGGGCAATTGCCCCTATTACCATTAGCCTAGATCTGTCCATGACGCACCTCTAAGGGTACTATTAAAATATTATATATCGCTCAAAGTTTGAGTACCTTAATTGAAATTTACCGGCAAATTCTTATACGGTCCCAAAGTCCACATTCTTTTTATAGACTTTAGTACACAAGCACTGTGAGAAGATATTCTTAAACATTAGCATATTTAATTGAAATGTGGACTTTAAGACCACGAAATCACCAGTCTTTAACATAAGATATGTTATTTCCTAAAAGGTAAATTTTATAAATGGTCCTTAATTATATGTAGCTTTTCATATTTAGTCCCCAATTATAAGATATTCCACAAACAGTCATCCATTTTTGAAAACTATTCCACAAATATTCATTTTCACCAAATATGACAAAATATTTTGAGTAAATTTTCAAAATGGTCCTTTTGAATAAGTTTTTTTCCCAAAGTAATCCTCAAAAAACAAAAAATACTAACGTGATCCTTTATAATTGAGATGTGTTTCTTAAATAGTTCTTTATAAAAAGTGTCTATTAAATGACAGTTAAATAGAGGGTATTTTTATGTTCTTAATTATCTAAACTATGAATAAATCCTCAAATTGATTTTTTTTTAAAAATTAAGTGGGAGGCTACTAGAAGAAGGGACCCACCCTCAATTGGCTCATGGACTTCATTTTGAAAAAAATGTTTACTTAAAAATTATCAGTTTGGAAAAATACTTAATTATAAAGAAATATTTCGAGAACATACTTTAAGCCTAGATGGTAGAAAATATCAAAATACCTTTTAATTGACTGACATTTAATGGACATTTTAAGCAAGTGACCATTTAGGAAATAAATCTAAATTGTAAAAGGACCACGTTGGTAATTATTGTTTATTAGAAGCCTCCCATTTAATTTAAAAAAACATTTTGAGGACTTATTTATAATTTAGATAATAAAGAGCATCAAAATATCTTTCTATTTAACTGTCATTTAATAGGCATATTTGATAAAGAACTATTTAGGAAACAAAAATCAATTATAAAAGACCACATTAATAATTTTTTTTACTTATTGAGGATTACATTGGGAAAAACCTTAAGTATGGAGAACTACATATAGTTGGGGAATATTTATATAATTTACTCTTTCTTAAGTCACTTTTATAGGTATTCTCATACTTCAACTACACCATATCAAGTTTGCATCTATATGTTTTGCATTGACTTTACTCATCAGACGACTAAGGGCTTGTTCTCTTCACCTGATTTGATCGGTTGTGATCTGATCTAGTGTGATCTGGTTATAATTGTACTTCAAACTATTTATTTGATTTCATTTGATTCGAATAAGAATATGTAATAAGTAGACCTAATTAAAGTATGGTCCGGATCGGGTTTCGAGTTGGACTGAGACATTACACTACGAGAATTTCCTAAGCCCGAGCTCGGCGCAACCTGTGAAGCATGCCTAACAATTGAAGCCCAAGTCCGACCCTCATGGGTACCCGCGGCTTCGGGCCGGACCGGTCTGTATGTCAAAAACTTCTAAAAAAATAAATAAATATTTTTTTAAAAAATAAAATAATGTGTTAATATATTTGATGTTTGATATACTAACTATAATAAGTATATCAAAGAACAAATAATATATAAAATATATTTTGTTTGACATTACCACTACGGAGTACAAATTACTTTATATAACTACCATTATAATTGTGTCGTACAAAGTAGATAATACAGAGCAATAAAAATGTATTTATTTTATTAAGTATATATATAGTTCACTATTTTCTTTATAGAAATATGTATTTGTGTATATAATAAATTGAAATAGTATTCTTGTCATCATTATTATTAATGTTGTTGTTATCATTTTATAATAATGAAGAAGATGATGATGATGATGATGATAATAATAATAATAATAATATATTAATAATAATAATAATAATAATAATTTATTCAGGCCGGCCGACTCGTGGGCTAGAGCATAGAACCCGAGCTAGCAAGCTCGGCTCTAAAGTATTTGGGCCGCTATTTATAAAGTCCGAGTTTGGTTCATATCCAAAAATGTCAAGCATGCTATTTTGCAGGAGGGCTTTTGCGGGTGGGCCAGTCTTGCCAAATAACTGGGCCCGTGATTAGGTCTAGTAATAAGGTTAGAATTAGTTGTGGAGAACAAACTCTAACTTTACTTATAGGATTGAAGAAGCATGAAGCATAGGCCGGACAAAAAAAGACTCGACTCGTTTTTTATCCGAGACCCAATCTGAAAATACTAAGTTTTGAACAAAGATTTTGTTGACCGAACCTGAAATGATCCGCTAAAAATAGGTCAAATAATCTGACCGAATTTGAAACCGACCGTCAATGTAAGTTTTTTTTAAAATCATATACTTTAATATGAAAAATAATGATATAAAAATAATATTGTAACTATATTTCTTTTCTTACTACTCATTTTTAATATATAAATTTATCTTTTTCACTCAAAGTTTTAATGACATTGCATTATTATCTTATTTTTTTAAAGAAATTCTACATATTTAGTTTTTTTATTAGTAATATTGACATTGGTTCTTAAAAACTAATTAAAATTTTAAAAAATAAGTGAAGGTCATGACTCATTAGGTCGACCAAAACTCGATAATAATGAATCATAAACATATCCTTTTCTATTCAAACTCGAACTTATCCAAACATGAACCCAACCTCACCAACTGATTTATAGGCTCTAATCAATCATGTAGGACTCATTTAAAATTTTCAGAAAACTTTTCACAAATAGAAATCACCACTAATAGAACTAAAACATTGTGCTAATCCCTAAAATAGGAGTTCAAGTTTTTTAATCTCCCAACTAGGACCTCTCCCGTTACATTCTTTCTTTCTCTCTCGATTTTACCCTCCTTTTCATTTCTGTGTCACACTTCACCATCTACATTACAACTCTTTGTAATACTCATTACCACATTACATACTATGACACTTTACATTACAATGGTTCATATTATTAATCACCACATTACATATTATGACACTATCATGATTTTTTTAACTTCATATTAACCACTGAATATTTTATTATTTTGTTATGTAGGTAAAATCATCATGTCGATATGAGTTTGAAGTTATTGATTTACATTCGCGCTCTTGTGTGGTAAACTTAAAGGACAAAATATGCACATTTTGTGAATTCCAACTTGATCAATTTGTTTGCATTCATGCAATAGCTGCTATTGGGAGAAGTTTGGGCTTATCTTGTTTTAATTTTATCTCTCCTTTTTACAAAATTGAGACGTTATGATTCCACCTTAGGGAGGTGGCGGTAGATACTGACGGCGAACTAAGGGTTCACGGCAGTATCAATTAGAGAGGGAGAAGGATTGTAAGGGTTGAAGGAGAAGATAGAAGAGAAAAGTAGGGGAAATTAGGAGTTGTATTATTATGGATGTCTATTACGTAGGAGCATCCACTTAAATAGGCCAAGAGTTTCCCCAACCCTAACATTCTAGTTATCTATCCTGTCGGTTCAAGAAAAAGCATCGAGGTAAAGAACCGAAAAGAAACCCTCGAATGAGCTTATATATTGCTCACCTAAGAAAATCTAAGTACAATAATTAAAAGAAACAATAATAATAAAATAATGAAGTTAAACATAATCTGCATATCTTCTTGGCGGACCAACGTTCCTCTTTGGACGACCCGATACGTGACTCATGGGCTGTACTTCCCCTTCCTCCGGATCTAACACGGGTTGGACCGTATCACGTTAGTATGTACATATGCTCGTATAATCCACCCAATTGGCGATGTGTCTTCATGGGATGTTCCTTAACAGAAGTTGTCAATAATTTGTATACCACCACTTTGTGACAAACGCCCTCCAAGAAGGCCTAAAGAGAGGCTCTACCTGTCTATTGGAGAGGGCTATCAGGGACAACGTCATGAAAAACAGAAGTGTTCACGCTGCAAATCATACAGCCATAACAAGAAGTCATGTAGAAATTCTATTCCACCACCAGAAGATCCAAAGACTATTTGATATCACTTTATGTTGCATTACATGACCTTTTTAGTATGGTTTAATTGTGTTAAAATTTCATGTACTAATATGTAATGTACTTTTAAAATATCCTTCCATCTTGACACTTTTATGTCATAATTTTGTTTTATCTG